ACTACAAATCTTATCAACCCTTAATGTTGGTGCATGAATCCTTATTACCCTTGGTTTTGTTCAAAATCCTTGAGTAAAGGCAAATTCCACTAGATTGGGGTTACTTAGAACACAAACCCAAATAAATCACTTACCAATAATCTCATCATCACAGGAAGCCTTCATAGTTAATAAATTATATGCCTCCCTGGTTAAATTGTTAAAATCAGTAAAATTCCATTGAAAGCTTAATTATACTACCATAAGCTCTTACAGCTACTTAATAATGAATGTCTCAATTCCTGATCCTATGAGGATTGCGCTTCTTTTAAAGTTTTTTATGACACTTGGATTTCTACAGAATCTGGAACACCTATAAGAAAAAGTTAAATAGTGGAAAGTCAACATTTAAGCATTTTTTCTATCGAGATGTCCCTGCAGACAAAATATACTGCAAAGTTCGAAAAATGACAATGTATTGTACTTACACTTTCTTCTTCTTCAGCATACACCACTTAGAAATACATAAATAGGGTATCTGGTGGCTTATGCCAATGGTTAAGTCAAGCCGAATTTCAGCCAGGTCAATGACCGTCGCTGGTCCTGTCGAGTTCAGAGTCTCCGTATCAGGCTCTTGGTTGATGGCTTCAGAGCCTCCGAGCCCGTTTCCCACTTGTCCCCTCTCCTCTCTCTGCCCCTCCCATTCATGCTCATTCTCTGTCCAAAAATAAATAAACGCTGAAAAAATATTTAAAAAAAATAAAAAAGAAATACATGTAAAATGTAAGATTAAATGTAAACTGAACTATTTTTGACTAAAATCCGACTATCAAATATCAAGGAACACTGAGGCCCCAAAATAATATGGTTAAAAAAATCATGAGTCATAGTTATAGATTCAACAGTAAAACCTAAAAGTCATCTTAAACAAAATGGTATTTGGTAAGGAATCACTTTTATTTAAATCCCTGCCCACTTAATAATAATTTCAAAATTCATCTATATACTCAATGTGGGAGTGGGGTAGTTTCAAACAACCCAGAATCCCTTTTGTTCTTTCCATCCTTGTTCTGTTAAAAAGACAAAATAATTTCAAAACACAACAATGGCTCGATTGGATTTTTTTCTAAAATATGTATATAGTAGAAATTCAATACTCTATAGTTCTCCACCTTTTATCCAAAAAGATATTATCTAACAGTGCTAACTTTTAAAGTTTAATTGATCTAATTGTCTTCCATGAAATGGCTAATTAGGACTCCATATAAGTCTAAAATTGCATATTTTGTTACTTTTGTAATGTCTCCAAACACAATCGCACATTGTATGTGTATAGGAAAATCTGAGAATGTAAAAGTACTACTTAGGGAGTATATGGATCTTGGCAACATAAAATATGTGAACATCACACCTAGAAGATGTGACCCTCGTTTCTAGGTCTAATGTATAAAAGGTCAAAATGAAGTATAAACATTCCAAATTTTGTGTATACATCACAAAACTGCATATATATCACACAACAAAATATTTTTCTCTTTTTTTAGTTTTATTTATTTTTGGAGAGAGAGAGAGCTAATGCAGGGAAGGAAAAGAGAAGGAGACACAGAACCGCAGGTGCTCCAGGCTCCTGGTTGCTCAGCACAGAGTTTCAAATGGGCTCAAACTCATGAACATGGTGATCATGACTGGCCATGGCTCGATGCTTTACTAACTGAGCCCCCCAGGCGCCCCGCCAAAATACTTTTCATTTTATGTACACTTTGTTCTATGGGGAAATTCAAGCAGGTCCCTATATACACTAGAACACAGTTTTCTTAGAAATAGTCAGGTCGTCTGGCTGTGGCCAGCTCGCTGGCATTCAACTCCTTTGGATTGCCTTGGGCAGGTCAGGACTTCCAGGGTCATGATGAGTCTCACATTGTGACCGGAGCATGGTGCCTGTGTATGATATCTCTTTTCTTCTCTCACTGTGTGTGTGTGTGTGTGTGTGTGTGTAAATGTGTGTCGGTTCTCTGTCTCCTCCTTCCTGGCCTCCCTCTCTCCCTCCCTCTCAAAAAAAAAAAAAAAAGCCAATACTAGTTTAATCTGATCTGGGTCAGTACCTCCTGGAGAGCCCTCTCCTAAGAGACATGGGTCAAAACATGCCTGTATTATTGAACAAGTTTCAAAGCAAGTAGAAATCTAAGAATACAATGGATCTCCTGGAGTACCCCACCATGAATTCATATCAGTAATTTTGTATTTTTAGCCCAAAGGACTATTGCCTTTTACAGTAAAAGCCTCCTAACATTTAATGCCTACTAGATAACTCCTAGACAAGTCCCCATTTCTGAGATACACCTAATGAGAGGTTTGAACTTGTCCTGGATCTCCTCAATTCCAAACTGAGCCAATGGAAAGTTATACATAGAGAAGTCTATTTGAACTCTGTATCTAATAGATGTTAACTGAAAAGCACAATAAAGTACCTGAAAAGACTGGAATCAATGGAACTACGAAGGGAATTCAACTAACAAATAAGAAAGATCTACTATGTGTCTGATATTACCAGGTACTAGGGATACAAGAATAATTAAAACATCATACTCTATCTTGAGAAGGTTAGGACAGCATTGTAATAAAGTCTCATTTTACAATGAAGAGATTGAGATCAGGGTAGGGCATAAACAATGGGATGAAACTATATACAATGGTCATACGTAAGTAAAATGGAAATATAAAAAAAGGAAGTGGTGGGTGAGTGGTGGATGGATTGTGAGGCAAAACTTCATAGGCTCAAGTTTCCCTCTTAAGCTAGTCCTCTATCATCCTTAGTCTTCAACATGCAGATTAAATGATCTAATACCTCAGCTTCAAAGTTCTTCAACTCTTAAACTCCACTGACTGAATACTTATTAAGCACTCATTAAGGGTGCATGTATTTTTTATGTTTGAAAAGTATATAAAAATATGGAATATTAACACTATTTGTACCCTTAAGAAAATACCTAAGAAGCATAAGAGGGGAGGTCTCTATGAAAAACAGTCCCAGGGAGCCTGGGTGGCTCAAGTCGGTTGGGCCTCCAACTTCAGCTCAGGTCATGATCTAACTGTTCATGGGTTTGACCCCCGCATCAGGCTCTGTGCTGTTATCTCGGAGCCTGGAGCCTGCTTCGGATTCTGTGTCTTCCTCTCTCCCCCTCCCCCATTCACACCTCTCTCTCTCTCAAAAATACACAAACATTAAAGAAGGAAAGAAGGAAGAGAGGAAAGAGGAAGGAAGGAAGGAAGGAAGAACAGTCCCAAAAGCTAAGAGAAAAAAGGCAGAAAACCTATTAGGAAGCTATAAAAGTAACAAGTGCCTAATATGAAAGCAGAGTGGGAGGCCAAAAAGAAAGCAAAGACCACTAAACTTTGCAGAGCCAGGTTAAGACTTGGTAACTAGATTAAAAAAAGGTAAAAGGTTCAAAGATGACTCTCACATTTCTAGCAAAACTGTCTAGGCATATGACAGTAGTATTAAATGAAAAAGCAAAAAAGATGTGAATTAGGAACTCTCAGTAACCTCACTGGTACAAACAGGATTTCCCTATCCAGTGGAAAATTCAGACTAGAGCAAAGAAGGTACAGATCTGGACATGATAAACACAGAAAGAACGAGATTCCTATCTTCCTTAGTGCTTCAGGGCCTCTGAATCTTATATCCCCAGCCAACTCTGTTCTTGTCTTCCCTAGAGTAAGCTGGCTTGCAGCCAATTCAATACTGTCCTTGCTAGCAATAGACTTCATCACCATGAATTTCCATTGTGCCTGCCAAATCAACACACAACTCTAGATAGCTCCCATGGTCTTTTGTTCTCATTCCTATACCCACCCGATAAGCCCTGCGGGGCAAAAACCGTAAAATTATAATGACCAGATGACCTACAAAGCCATATTGCCCACTCTGAATTAAACGCCAACCTAACGATCATTAAGTTAGTTTCTATAAATTTTTTATCATGTTCCTGAGAGCAGGTATTCAAAATCTTCTACACGTTCTTTCAAGTTCCCAAACCTAGTTTTGGTCCCACACTTTCAGCAAAAACCCCTTGCTCCTAATTAATGACGTCAATATCTTCCATCTTTAATAGATACAAGGTGATGAAGCAGAAAGTGTAATTCCTTGGCATAACAAAGTCACCTATTAAAATATAAAGTCCTAGATCCAAATGCTGAGAAATAATATGTTAGAGGAAAGAGATTCATTCTGATATAAGATAGCAAATTCATGTATTATTCACAAAGTCTTTCACAACCAGGTCTCATAATTATGTTTGTATTTTATGTTTATAGATGTACCTTCTTATGTAGACTTACATATATGTGTATTTATAGCCTTACCCCAGGCCTGGATCACCATTTACAAGTCACTTCCCTAAAGAGATTGCTTCGCTGTGCCTCTCTTCAACTGTTCACTCTTCCACCACCTAGAATTCCCTCTTCTCACTTTTTTATGCAACATTCAAGATCCAAGATAAATGTCTTTCTGAGCCTTTTCAAATACGACCCTCCCCAACTCACCTCCAGCAACTTCGTAATACATAACTACTACTAGGCCATATGCAGCATTTCTATAGTGTTACGGACACTCCCAACTCTTATTCATCTCTACGGGCATAGAGCCTAGCAATGATGCTTGACTGGCCATACATTCAACAAAGTTTACTTAATTCAAGAACTCCACCCAAGTACAAGAGTGACCAAACAGCCCCCACACACCCCCAGACTACATCCGGCGCTGTCTAAAATAACTCGGGGACCTCACCGCAGCCAGCCTCGGTCAAGGGTGGCCTGGTGTCCAGCTCGGTTCGGGACACCAGGAAGGAGAAACTCCGCAAGCGGGAGGTCGAGGCCGGAGGTCCTCACAAAATCACCCCTTGTGAGGGCAGCGCGGAAAACGCGAGCCAAACGCCCCAGGTGCAAAGGAACCACGCGCTGAAGCGGCGCTCCTCAAGCCCGCGGGAGCGTCGCAGAGCGCGCGCCAGTCTTGGCGACCTCACCTTGCAATCGTTGCGGACAAACATCATGCCGTGGCCGGGGTAAATGGGCCCCGAACAGAAATAACACTTCTCAATACGCATGTTGAAACCGCGTGAGCTCTCACAGACCAAACGCCGAACTCGAGCGGAAGTGACGCAGCCCGCCACAGGAAGTGGTTCTCTTTAGTACCCGACCCCGGAAATAGTGAGCATGCGTCGGCCCTGAGGGCCCTGGGAAGCGGTCCGAACGTGACAGCGCCTCTCAGCGGCAGCGCGAGCAAAAGCGCTGCCGTTTTGCGCAGGCGCAGAGCTGCAAAGTCGGCTTGGCAGCCTTCACTGTGGGAGGTGGAACGTGGCGGTACGCCGCCTTAGAAACCTGTTCTCACAGCGGGTCGTTTTCCTCTCAACCATACCCTGTAACGTCAGCATTTACTCCTATCTTATGTGATATGTTCTTTGTCCCTGGACGACTCTCCACACACTGGGATGTCTTTAGGAACTCCTTAACACTGGGGCACTGCCTGCCCCAGACTTGCCACTGACTGGCGTCCCCAGAGTACTTGCGCTGTGGCAGAGAGAACCTGCGGCCTCAACGCTACGACCCAAGCGGTCGAGTCTCTGAAGCTCAGAGAACGTTACCAAAAATTTTTGAAAGACTTGTGGTGATTTAAACCTTTTCTCCTCCCTACCCCCTTTTAATTAATATGCATGTGGTAGAAACATTTTAATAGGAAACTAAGGTTCCCTCCTCAGACCTCGAGACTTCTCCACAGTGGCAATTGGTTTCTTTTCAAGATTTTCTGTGCATAGATAAACATATTTATTTCTGTGTACGTGTGTCTCTTTCTTCTTAACACTAATGAGTATCCTATTCACCGTTTTCTGCACCTGGTTGTTACCTGTCTCCCACTATTGGAATAAGAGCTCCATGAGGACGGGGATTTTTGTCGTTTTGTTTACTGCTATAGCCCACAATGATGAAGTCTTGGGGTGATGGTGGGGTGATCCGGAGACAACGGCCAATAAAGAATTCTTGAAGATGTCTTTGGTGCAAAAAGGTGATTTTTTTAAAGCATGGGGACAAGACCCATGTGCAGGAAGGGCTGCACTGGGGTGATAGGTAACTGATTAGATACCGTCAGGTTGTGAAGAGGTTAAGGATAGAGTAAGTCTCTAAGGTATTTTGGAAACAGGGTTTCCAGAATCTTGAGGGATTAGCTGTTGCCAGGAAAATGCCATTTATTACCGGTTAGTAAAACCTGAGTCATGGAACCATGGAGATGTGTATCAGAGGGGCATAAGCCTGGAGTATGATTGCCGGCATGTATCTTGGGAGTTGAGATAAAGGAAGTTTTTGAAGGAATTTTTATATGTTAAAGTAGACTTACAGGATCCTCAAGGTTGGGATAATGTTAAGCTAAGATTCTCTTTTGCCTCTAGCAAAGTGTCATCATCAAGGTAGCTGAGCTCCTATTGGGAGGTCACTCTGCCTATTTCAAGAACTTGTCAATGGGAATTTAATTTTTCACTTGCCTTAGTTTCCCACATTACCATGTCAAGTAGTTAAACCCTTTCCTTTGTTCTTGGGTAGCCAGGAGTATCCAAGAAATATCACATATTCCACCAGGGGACAGGGGGTACTGTTAGCCTTTATTTTGCCCTCAGCTTGCCCCACACTCCTCATCAACAATACCTAGGAGAGTTCCTGACACATAAATATATATTCTATTATCAATGAATATTTAACATTCCTTTTCACCATTTTGTATAATATGCAATTACATGAAGATATCATTTTAATTGGTTGCTTATTGATAGACATTTGTTTCCTACCTTTTGGCATAACAAGTATCTTTATATTACTGGTGGGATAGTCAGCATTGTGTGAATGGAGGTCTCGGTTCTTGGACTCTCCTCGAGAAATATTTATCTGAGGATCTGCACTCCAATAAAGATAGCCTGGAGGAATGTAGCAAGAGGAAAGCAGTTTATTAAGGACAGCAGTTTATTAAGGTGGGAGAGCAGTATGGCCCAGAGGTGGCAACTGCACTGAGGCTAGAGGGGTCCTTTCTTTGTGTATAAGCAGTCTTGGGTCACAGAGGGAGAGGTCTCTAATGGAGGCTGCTTCCAATCAGTTGGGAGATTCCTCCCACAGGTTGTGAGGGGCAGTTTTTGACCCTACAAGGTTTGTACCAAAACATTCATTGCAGCCTCCCCCCACGCCCCCCCCACCCAATACTTCACTCTCAACCAAGAGACTGAAAATTATTTTATCCTTGTTTAATCTTCTGCTCTTATTCCCATCAACAATTATAGAAGAGCCTCACCAGTCCTCAAAGCTATTTACACAATTCCTTCCCAACTCTCAGTTTTATCCTGCTATTTGAACAAGAAATTTCCTGCCCTTCTCACTTACATGGTCACCCAGCTTCCCCTTCTTACCTTTAATGTCACAGGCCACATCCCTCATCCATGTTCTTAATACCATACCCTAATGTTTCATCTGAGACTTGTTCATTTCAACCTATGAGCATATTCAGTGTTTCACATTAGATTGAATGGACAAGTAGCCAGTCTCCAAAGTGTTTTTTTTTTCTTTCAAATTATAACAACAGAAAACATGAGAAAGGAAAGATATGTATTCTACATCCAATAAGTTGAGCTAAAATCTTAAAATACTTCTTTACATTTATCAAGCTTGAGACCTATGATTCCTGAATCTGAAAATAGATGTATTTTATCATTACTGAAAACTCCTCAGCTCTTTTCTTTGCATGTAGTGCCTCTTCTTTTATTTTCTCTAATTTCTTCTTCTAGAATTCCCATTGGACATAAATTGAAGATTTTATCTTTCCTCTATATCTCTTCTCTCATACTTTATCTCTGAAATCTATATAATTTTCTCTGACCTGGTTTCTAGTTCAATAATTCTCTCTCCAACTTTGTCAAACTTGCCATTTAACTTTTGACCATTAAGTTTTCAGTATCAATCGCTACATTTTTCACAATGGAAATTTTTTTCATTCAGACCAATATTGTAGCTATAATAATGACTTCTTTTTCCAGATGTTTCAATTCCTTTTATGTTTGTAATTATCTTAAACATTTTTACTTTGTGGTCCACATCTGATTACTATATTATTTAAAGTCCTTAAGTGTAAAATATTGCTGTTTTTGGTTTACTGACCCTGGGTCATGATTGAGGATGAGGGAGTGGGCAAGGAATGGGTTTTTATTCATAATTGTGAGTTCATCCTTAGTAGAGTGTTTTCTGTAAGAGTCCTGTAAAGTGTGGGTGGAGATGTTCCCTCTGAAAAGATTTTGCTTTGCTTCTACCAAGTAGTCCAAAGGAATTACCAACCAAAAATCACATTTTTATGTTAATTTCTTAGCTTAGCCATTCTCAGACAAAAAATAGGATAAACTTGAACCGCAAACCTGTGTAAAAGGTTATAAATTTTTCAGGAGATACTAAAACATAGACTGGGCCCTGGCTTTCTGTGTGTTTGGGGATGGGGGCATTCTCCATTCCAGTGCCCTACCTCCACCATACCCAAGGTTTTCTCTCCTAATGGCACCTTACGTGGATCCTGAGAAATAACAGAAGACCATGGAGGAGAGGAAGAGAAAGAAAAAAAAAAGTTAGAGAGGGAGGGAGGCAAACCCTAAGAGACTCTTAAAAACTGAGAATAAACTGAGGGTTGGGGCGCCTGGGTGGCTCAGTCGGTTAAGCGTCCGACTTCGGTTCAGGTCATGATCTCACGGTCCGTGAGTTCTAGCCCCGCGTCGGGCTCTGTGCTGGCAGCTCA